TGGTATACGGCGAATGCGGATTTGAGGGTTTGGAAGTCATGGCTTCCTGTATAGTTTGGAGCTGTCAGGGTTTCGGATGTAGTGGATGAAGGTTTGCGGGCTTTCGGATTCCCGAGCTTTGGGTTGAAGGTGTCGGACTACGGGGCAGAAGGCTTCGCGGCTTAGGGGGTCTTGGGCTATGGGTGGAGGCCAAAAAACCCAAAGTCCGAAACCCGAACTACGCCCGAACTTCGGACCCCTAAACCCAAGCATGAAGACACAACCCAAAGCCATGATTCCGAGTACTGTAGGAGCCTGAAGAATGTCTCAGGGTTTCTCACTGTGATTCAAGAATAACGTACACCCCAAACAGTATTCATACTGCTCCAAGGCATACATGGGTGGTTGTCAAAATTAGGGTTCCTTTTTGGCTCCCTATTATAGTACGGCGCCTCTTATTTAGGGTACCCAAAAAGGAACCCTAATTTTGACAACTACCCACATGTATTCAAGCAGAATGCTGGAGAGGCTTAAGATTATCGGCTATGGGGCCATGCCCCTGTTTGAAAGTCTGGGGCTCGGGCCGTCGGCTGGAGCGGTTGGGGGTTGTGTAGGGGTTGAGGCTTTAGATTGGTTTGGGGTGTAGAAGGGAGGGCATATCAATAAGCAGGAAAGTGTGGATGCTGCTAGAAGCTTTAGAAGAAGATGAAGGGTCCCCTACACCCTTAACCCCAAAGCCTAAACCCCTAAACCCTAAACCCCTAAGCCCTAAACCCTAAACCCTAAACCCTAAACCTTAAACCCTAAACCCTAAACCGTGTAGAGCGTCGGCCTTCGGATCTAGGGCTGAGATCGGGCTTGAGGTCTGGGATTTCGGCCTCTTTGTGCCTCTTTGTGATGTCCCCAGAGCCTCCAAAACCCTTTAAGTAAGGAATATACCTTAAACTATACTAGGGTCCCTTATATGATTTAAGGTATATTCCTGAATTAAGGGGTTTTGGAGGCTCTGGGTTTGGAGTTCACCGACTCGCAGAATTCCTCCTTGGGGAAAGGGCATCGAGCAATAGTAGGAGCCGATCCGTTAGTTGTAGTATGTCTAGGTAGGGCCTTGGGACATTTTATATTTTCCCTTATTGGGCTTAAGAGGATCTTGTTTATTAAGATTTTTCAAAGGCTTTAAAAGCCCCACCTAGATGTAGTTGACGCTATAGGAGGATACCTGCGATGCTGTAAGCGCCACAATGCAGGGCCTAAGCAATGTCCAATACTTTTCCACAGGTTCCTTGGTGTAACTGGTAACTATACTGTTATATACCCCAAAACTGATCATGAAGGCTTCTATGTCAAGGAACCCTTATGGAACTTCCTTTGGGTAGCCTTAACTTATACCAGAACCCAACACCCCAAAACTTCAAGATCCTCAGTCCTACTTTCGCAAAAGGGTATAAGCCCCTCCTGAAGAATTCCCAAAAACCGCTAAAGCCTACATACAAGGTTCCTTCAAGGAGTTTTTTTTTTTCAACCCGAAGCTCAGCGATCGAGGGTTCAGCGGCCCAGAGGTATCCGGTCATGAGGAGGGAGACGACCTCTAAGAGGTTAGCACCCGCGATGGGATGCGAGCTGCCTGAGGCTTCATGGAGACATCCGCACTTTCGGCGAAAGGTCATCGGGCTTTAGAGGGTCTCCAGCATTCTGTGGTATTCAGGCAGTAGGTTTGGGGATGTAGGGGCTCTAAGCGTCAGGGTTCAGTCTTTCGAGTTTGTTGGCGATTCCGAGACGGCTCTCAAGCCGAGACGCCGGGAACCATGGTAAGCAAGTCACCCGCAACTCTTAGCTCAGAGTATATTTGGGCAGCTCGCTTTTTAGCTTCTGGCGTGCCATGCGCATGCCTCAGAGCTGGCACAGATGCCAGTTCTATAGTCACCGCCGGGCCTCAAAGCCCAAACCTCGAACCCCAAACCCCTACCCTACACCCTAGATTCCAAACCCTAAACCCTAAACCCCCCCCAAAACCCCCAAAAACACCCAAACCCCCCCCCAAAACTGCCCCCGGAGATCCCGAGCCTGGCAGCCCCGAAACCTTCAAGTTCTTTGGGCCAGCCGGCTACTACCTACCGGGCCAGGAGGGCTCACCGAAGAAGGGAGCAGAACAGTGTTGAGGAAGTTTGGATCCTTGAGGTTTAGGGTTTAGGGGGATTTTTAAATCTTTGAGGGTTCAGCGGCCTAAGGCATCTATTGTTTTTTTCCATATAGGGTCTTACAGCTTCCGGATGATTCAGCTGGATAGCCGCAAGGACGTTTGAAGTGCTTCTGCATTCAGGGATCACGGCCTTAGAAGACGGAACGTTGGTTGCGACTGTTTCCGCTCCCATGTGGTTCACTGCACCTCTGGTGTCAAGATGAGGCTTGCGATGTAGACTCGGATTAAAAAGCCCCAACCTCATGCCGGCTGGCTAAATCTCACTGTAGTTACAGTATGTTATAGTACATCGCACCTGCACCCTAAGCCCTAAACCCTAAACCCTCAAACCCTCCCAGTATTGAGGCCCCTTTGTTCTCTACATGACCTGGTGAGTCTCCACGCCCCAAGCATCAGAAATCCTAGACCTACAGATGGTCCCCAGCCATTCTTATCTGTCTGGTGCCTGGTAGGGAATGGGGGAATGGAGCCCTACAGTAGTCCCTATATAATCCCCGATACTAGTCCGCATAACCCATTCCCCCATTCCCTACTAAGAACCAGGGAGTTATGGCCGGGGCTTCGATAAGGCCGACAAGACTCCCCGAAGGCGAAACTGGTTTAGGCTTGAGGTTATAGGGTGAGCACCCCCCAAAAGAACGACAGCTGCATTCGTTTCTTGGTTTGGGGTTTAGGGTTCCAAGAGACCCCAAGGCCAAAAACAAAACTCCCTGAACCGTAAACCCGAAACCCCTCTAAGCCTTAAGCCCTACACCCTAAACCTTAAACCGCAAGATCATAGAAACAACCACAAGGGGCCTTGAACTACGGTTGATGATATAAGTCCTGCATTACCCTAAGGACCCTAAACTATGAGAATTATGATATATTCCATGTTATGGGTAATGCAGGATTTATATCATCAACCGTAGCACTTCAGAAGAGTCTCTGGCTATGCTTCCGCTTTGCACCAAGAGAGCACTCCGATTTTTCTCACCTACGGCTACGGCGTCGTGGTCAAAAAAAGTTGAGGATCTTTGCCTCAGAGTTTATGGTTTAGGGTTCGGGTTTAGGGTTTAGGGTCGGGTTTAGGGTCTAGAGTTTTCGGTGTAGAGTTTAGTGTGTCGGGTTTAGGTTTATGGTTTAGGCTCAAGGTTTTGGGGTTTAGGGTTTAGGGTTTAGGGTTTAGGGGGGAGTCGGGAGCGTGGGTTCTGTACTTCGATGGCAGTCGCCTTAGGGGAGCAGCAGGTTGAAAGCATGGAGTGAGAGCGCGCTTCGTGCGCGCGCGAGCCTTGCCGTCGGGGTCTAGGTGTAGCATCTCGAAAACCCCAAACCCCTAAACCCCTAAACCATGAAACCCTTAAAGCCCTAAACCCTAAAACCCTAAACCCTAAACCCGAAAGGATCTGACATCCCGAAACCGTTGCTGGGCCCAGCTATGAGTTCAGATCTCGAATCGATCGCTTGAGCTGTGCTCTCTTCTTCCGGTATGGGAGTTTTCGACTGTAGGGGTACCCTATTTTCGGGTCCTTATAATAAGGGTCGTGCTATTTGGAGTACTAGATCAGGGTCCCCTATTTTCGGAAACCCCCGGTATGGATATGCTTGAAGCGCCTCTTCTGTCGGAGACTGATCCTCTTTCCGGTCCTTTAGAGCCCGATCCTGTCCGACAGCTTGGGATTTCGATTCAGGGCGGCTCGTTTCAGATCCTGGCCTCCTTGAGAAGTCGTTCGTGGCCTCAAGAGGACTTCAACCTAAAGCCCGAAACCCGACAGTGATGCCAAGGTTTCAGAGCCTTGCCGGTTCTATCGAGGGGTCTCCGAAACTAGGGGACCCTAACACAGTACCCTAATCAGCAGGATCCTTATTATAAGGACCCCAAAATACGGTACCCCTTATATTCGTAAACCCTCATCCAGTTACTGTGGCTGGGCTTTGCCTTGATCTTTGAACCACACCACCGCATCTGCATCTCGCCTCAAGAAACCCAGCTGCTGTGTAGTACTCGGGTAGCACAGCACTGGCCCCAAATCACTTTTGCTACCGCATAGTTCTCCTGCGCCCCTTTGCGCGGTGCCCAGGAGCGTTTTCGTGTCAGAGCTCAGGGTTCGACTCTAGTTATATTCAATTGCATAGGATTCAAATTACACTTGTAGTATACTCCCCCAAAGCTCCATTCCAATGCTTCAACCTATGAGGGTCCCATATCTTGCATTGATTCCTTTCCTTCTGGTTTTGATTTGGTGTTGAATAAGAGCCCGACGAGTTGGTGAGCCTGGGCCGCACCCGCGCTTCCCAGTAGAGGGGCTCCGGTGTTCTTCCTGGCAGGAGTTCTTGCATGTGAGAGCTCATGACACCCTAAACCCTAAAACCATAAACCCTAAGCCATAAACCCTAAACCAAAAACCCTAAACCTTAAACCCAAAACCCTAGACCCTAAGCCATAAACCCTAAACCTTAAACCCTAAACCCTAAACCATAAACCCTAAGCCATAAACCATAAACGCGAAACCCTAAACCCTGCGCTTGAGATCCAGTGACTCCGATCCGGGTGACCAGAGGTTGTTGAGACCGACCCGGAACCTGAAACCTCACCCAGCGTCCATTCTTGCTACTACTACTACTACTACTACTACTACTACTACTACTACTACTACTACTACTACTACTTCTACTACTACTACTACTACTGCTACTACCAGAACATGGGGGTTTGGGGGTTTCGGTTTCCCTAAACCCTCAACCCGAAACCCTGAGACCCAACTGCTTTGCACGTGGAAAGCGGAAGCCGAGCCCGGTCCTGCGCCCAAAGCTCCGCTAGGTCGGCACAATCGAAGAAGAAATGGCATACATGGTCCGGGACCTCGGAGCTCTTTCAGGAAGAGGGGTGAAGCAGAGGTGATCCGCCGGGAAGGCTGTACCTAAACCTTAAACCCTACACCGTAGACCTTAAACCCTCAACTTGGCCCTGAACTCAGGGGTTTTCGATTTGTAGGGTCGAGCGTTGAGTTGAGCCTTCCAGTCTTTTTGCGTGGTTCGCCGCAAGTAAGGGGTGCTACAAGGGGTATTGAAGGGGTGCACCTCAAGCCGCAGAGCCCAGAGAGGGGTTTTAACAAGGGGATACAAAAAAGGATGCTAGAAGTTTTTTTGTTTTCCGACTTGAAGGAAAGCGTTACTCTTTACCTGGTTTGGGGCAAGCAAGCATCATAAACCCTTCAACGCCTTCGAAGCTTTTGTACGAGTTGCTAGACAACCCCACAGCGCATTCACCTTGAACTCCTGCAACTGTTTTAAACCAAACCTTATGCCGAGCCTGTACATCCTGCACCCTGAACTTCACGGCCCCACCGATCGAATCATAGTATATGATAACGTATCCCGAAACCAGTTTCTACCCATGAAGGCTCCGAAACCCTAAACTTTCCGAATCTCGACGGCTTGAGGGCCCCACCACCGTCTTTGTGACAGCTGCGGCTCCGATGAGTGCAATGCCTCCGAATCAGATGATGCGCCTTGGGCTGTGGGGGTTTTAGGGGTTTGAGGGTTTTAATTAGGGGTTTTAGGGTTCTATTGGTTTTAGGGTGGGCTTTTAGGGGTTTAGGGTTTAGGATGTAGGGGTTCAGTAAGGTTTGGGTTTTCGGGTTTGGCATTCAGGGTTTAGCTCTCCGACTCCGAAATCATGAGCCTGTTCTGCAGAGGTCGGAGAGTAGGCCCAAGCCTCGCTACTTAAAGGCTCGTGGGACTTAGTAAGTAAGGTTATAAGTAGGATATAATTAGGATAACCCAACTTAGGGGACTTATAGCCCCAATTACAACCTACTTACTAAGTCCCATGATCCTCTAAGTAGCCTTTTTCCCCGATTACGAATTGAACACCCTTGACCATGCACCGCGCATGGTTACTCAAAATGAGCGCATCCTACTGAGCTTCTTCAAGAGGACGTCCAAAGCGCATGGACGCCCACATCCTAAGCTGACTCCTGAACCTGAGCCCAAAGCATTCAACCCTCAACCCTAAACCCGTAAACTCTAATCAAACCCTAAACCCCCTAAGCCCTAAAACCTAAAGCCTAAACCCTGAACCCCAACTGCTCCCGGCACCCCAAAAGCCTCGTCGCCTCGAATTCTTTCCGAGGTATCCACAGCCGATGGGCTTCATTCCCGTCATGGCCCCTCCGCTACTTGGCAGATCTTTGGGATTCCCAGGCTCTTTTTTCCCAGAGAGCCCAATACCCCTTAGTTAAGGAATATAGCCCAAAATATAGTAGGATCCCTAATACCATTTAAAGTATATTCCTTAATTAAGGGGTATTGGTCTCTCTTTTTTCTTCTTGGGCGTTTTAGGGTTTACTGAAGGGTTTAGGGTTAAGGGTTCAGGATTTATAGGGTTTAGAGTTGGGTTTAGGGTTTGTGGGGTTTACTGCCGGGTTTAGGGTTGCGGGTTCAGGATTTCTAGGGTTTAGAGTTCGGTTCAGGGTTTTAGGGTTCAGGGTTTCCGGTAGGGGTGCTGGGTCTCTCTTTGCTTCAGGAGTTGGGCCCCAGGGTCTTCGAAATTGGTTTTGAAAACCCTAAGCCCTCAACCGGAACCCCAGACCCTAAATCCTAAAGCTTAAACCCTAAACCCTGAACCCCAACTTTAAAAGACCCTAAACCTTGACACCTCTCAGGCACGAGAGGAGGTCTGAGATACATCGGGGATCATTGGGGTTCAAGGGTTTACTCATGGTTCGGATCTCGAGGGGATTGGGAGGTGAGTTTAGGGTGTAGGGACGCAAGCCTAGTTTATGTTTCAAAGTTTCGCGTGTTGAGCAAGAACCTTGGGCATGCGCGGAATGTGTTTGGCCCTCGGCCCCGAAACCCAGATACTGAAATCATTTTCCCACTGACATCGGGGCCCGAAACCCTAAACCCCTAAACCCTAGACCCCTAAACCCTAAACCCTAAACCCTAAACCCCTCAAGAGCAGGATAAATAGAAATTGTGCGAGCTTCGTTTCGAACTGCATGTTCACTAGTTTCAATTGTTCATTAAACGTGTCCAACCAAATTCCAGCCCAAGCTTCCCAGGCCCAGCCCCATTTCCACCACCAAACCCCATCCACAGCAGCCCAGTCCAGCCCAGCCCCACCAGGCACGGCCCAGCCCAGGCCCCAGCCCCCCGGACCCACCCCCCCAGCCCAGCCCAGTCCAAACTCACCAGGATCAAGATTGGAAAGCAAAAAACTAAACTTTCGCTCAAAACTTTCGGTCAAAACTGCGGACCCAAACCCTATGCAATTTCTATAAACCCTAGACCCCTAAACCCCTAAACCCTCAACCCTTAAACCCTTTATAGACTGTCAACACCCCACCACCTTTGTTCATTCAACCTTCCCTGCGCAAGAGATTGCCTCAGTCTTCTCCAATCACTAATCCCGAATCACCGGCAGCTTCTCAGACTCGATAATATGGGGGTCTAAATAACTACCGATACTATTTTGGGGGTTCCCTATTAGAGGGTTCCCTATTTGAATTATAGGGCTATTCTAATTATCAAGGCCCCTATATTACCCCACTCCCACCAAACTATTCCGTACATCTCCACATAGGTTTCAATATCTCGAGGCTTGCGGTTTGAGGCCTAGTGTCTCCTCTCCTCAGCGTTTGAGAAATGCTGAGGCCGATGCAAGCGGATGCCCCTACAAGCCAGTCAAGCACGGCAGGCTCTGCCGAGTTTCTTTTGAGTTTTGGAGCTGCGAGTATCTTCTTCGTCTTGGTACATCTTGTTCAAATCGTCTCAATGCCCTTCTGTCCTACTGCTCCGGCAGACCTGTTTTCATTATCAGGGCCCCGAGACTACAACCTCATGCTTGTACTCCTTCCCAAATGGGGGTTTCCGAAAATAGGGGTACCTTATTTTGGGGTCCTTATATTAGGGATCCTACTATTTAGGGCACTAGATCAGGGTCCCCTATTTTCGGAAACTCCCAAATCACTGTGCGGCTCGTCCTGTCCTCGTCCTGTCGCCCAAGCGTAAACCCGAAACTTGACTGTTCGGCCCTGATAAGTAGAATTGGGTTGTGGGAAAACGCAGGAAGGGACTATAGAAGGGAATGTTGTTGCACGCCTCCGAACCTAAAATCCTAAACCCTAACCGCCATAAGCAACAGCAACATACCTTAAACCCTAAACTCCCTAAACCTTGCACTCAAAACCCTGAAACCCTAAAGCCTTAAAGCCCTAAACCCTCAACCCTAACCCTAAACCCTAAGCCGGAAAAAGGCGTTCAAAAAGAAAAACCTAAAACCCGAAAGCCCAAAAGCCCAAAGTTGCGACTCCCACAAAGCCATTGCCGTCAGGGCCGCCCCCTGCGTCCAAGGCCAAGGCAAGGACACTTTGGGAGCATAAAAGGATCCTTAAAGGGAGATCCTTAGCGGGATCCTTAAAGGGATCCTTGAAGGGATCCTTAGAGGGATCCTTAAAGGGATCCTTAAAGGGATGCGTTCCTTAAAGGTATCTATAAGGGGTTAGGGTTGAAGGATTTAGCGCTTGGAGCTTTTTTCGGATGATGTCATAGTGATGTCAGGGGTCGGAATCAATTCCAATAGTATCCCTCATAGTCTTTATATGATAATGTGTTGGGCCGCAGAGCCCAGTTCGAGTTGTTATCGCGGCTAGGCTAAGGTTCAACAGTTTGAGGTCTCCGGTTTGAGTTCTGCGCAAGGGTTTCGGAGGCTGTCGCGGTTGAGACGGTGGTGTGTTTGAGACTGGGTGCGAGTGGCGTAAAGCCCGAGAAAACACCCCAGAAAATTGTAAGCCCCTCAAAAAAGGCTCTAAACCTTTATAAACCCTGTAAACTCCGTGACGTCGTAAGCAGAATCCGCGATGCGACCGGGCCCAATCGTGCTGGGAAGAGGCATCAAATCCGCGAGGAAGCAGCAGATTGGTGTGTGGGTGTGTTTGCAATGCAACTATTGTCGGCAGATTGCGCAGCAGAGGTTTCTGATAGGGAAATACGGAAGCTGAGGCTGGAGTTCTTGTTTACAAGCTCATGACAGAAAAGATGTTGGGTCATACCAAGCTTCTCTGGAAGACTCTCGAGTTAAGGGTTGCAACCATAAGGAAGAACAGCTCCTCAAGATGCATCACCTAAACCTACACAAAGCCCGGAACCTTAAAACATAAACCAAGCCTAAACCCCAAGCTCTAAACCCTTAACTCTGAATCTTAAACCTAAACATCCCCCCATGCCCTAGACCCTAAGCCCTACACCCTAAGCCCTACACCCTAAACCCTGAACCCTAAACCTTAAACCCTAAACCCTAAATCCTAGACCCTAAACCCTGAACCCTGAACCCTAGACATTAAGCCTCAAGCGCAGAGCTTGGAGGCGAAGTCCAGCGCCAAGAAGACCAGGACAGACGTACTCGCTTGAGACCTCCGAGGTGTAGGGCAATAGCTACGACAAGTACGGTTGATGATATAGATCCTGCATTACCCTCAGGGCCCTAAACTATTGGAATTATGGTATATTTCCTATTATGGGTGATGCAGGATTTATATCATCAACCGTATCTCCTTACTTAAAGGTTCACGGGAGTTAGTATCTATGGTTATATATGTGCTAACTACAGTTATATTTGCTTACCACTCCAAGTAAGGTACTTAAAACCTTACTTACTAAGTCCCATGACCCTCCAAGTATAGTCGATGTAGCTACAGAATAGTCTATCCCGGAGCCTTGTTTTCAAACGTGAAGCCGCCGTAGTGCTCAGATTTTGTGCGCGCCCCAACTCCCTAACATCTTCACGCACTATATATCTGTGTATATATATATATATATACATAACTATTAGTTGATAGTCTATTACTATAATGGTGTTACGCTCCCGAGTGTCCGGACCATGTCTCAAGTTCGGGAGGGATGGCGGTCGGCCGCCTAAAAATTCCAGAATAATGTCTACCCTTCATCGCCACAGCTCGAAGTCCTATACCGGTTGATGATATAAATCCTGCATTACCTTAAGGACCCTAAACGACGGCAGTTAGAGTATATTCCTATTGTGGGTAATGCAGGATTTATATCATCAACCGATACCGACAAGTCTCCTTCACACTGCAAAGCCCTTATTCCGCTAAGACCCAGAATCCAATCAGTCGTTTATGTCTCCCTCGGGGGAACACTTGAAGGGATCGTTGAGGAGCCAGAACAGTTCATGTGGCGCGTTAACTCGAAACCTTAAACCCCAAACTCTAAATCTTAAACCCTGAAGCCTAAACCCAAAACCCTAATTCCTAAACCTCATAAACTATTAGCATAATAATCCCTATAACCCTATAAACTCCTTAAGCCCTATAGATTTTTATACAAACCTTTCTAACACAATACCATCAGCCTGAAACTCCTTGGCAGGAACAAGGCCGAGCCAAGCCGTCCTCAGCCAGATGCATCTCCGCCAGCTGATGATGAGGCCCGGAGCTTTTCTGGGTTCTTTCATAGGGACCCTTATAGGGGGGCAGGGGGCCTTCATGAGCTTTTTGACAGGTAAAGTTTAGGGTTTCTGGTTTAGGGCTTTGGGTTTAGGGTTTAGGGCTTAGGGTTTTGGGTTTAGGGTTCAGGGTGAGCTTTTGTGGGTTCTTGTTTAGGAACGTAGTTTTAAGTTGCCATAATACGGAAACCATATTCTTTACAGTAGATCCTTTTTGTGGTAACTTAAATTAAATTCCTTACAAAAGACCAGGTTTGCGAAAGGTGAAGTTTAGGGTTTCTTGTTTAGGCTTCGGGATTTAGGGGTTTAGGGCTTCGGGTTTGTGCTCTGGGATTTCTATACGGCCCTTGTGTGTTTCATTAGGCTTGTGAAGTTTTGGAGTTTTGAAACTTTTGTTTGTGCTTTCTGTCACAGGCATCTCCACCACTTCAGGTGGTTGAGATTTGCAGTGTCGCGGGTCCCAGTTTTTTCCTCATACGTGTGGGTTCGTCGTTGCAGGGTTCATGGTTTCAGTATTGACGAGTTGGCGGCATTTGGACGGTGCCCTCTGCCTCCCTCTGAAACCCGAAACCCTAAACTGGAAATTGGTTGGTTTTGGCATTTACGGATGTTTTTGGGCTGATCTTTTCAGGGACTTGGGATGGGTTTGTCATAAGGTTTGGGCAAAGTCAAGGCCGGAGTGCACGCATAGAGCCGTGATTCCGAGCTGCTAGACTGACAACTTGTGCACCGAAATCAGGTCATGGCGTCATTTCGAACGCGACGCCGTCACCCTGTCGTCCTTAAGGCCCCAAGCAAGGCCTGATCCGAAACTGAAGGATTCTCAAACCCTTAAGCCTTAGTCATAGTCAATAACCCCTAAACTCCTAAAACCCTCAACCCCTAAACCCTAAACCTCCGACGGACTCCCCACACGAAGGTCGCTGGAAGAGGTGTGATCTCTTTGCTCCAGGCCCGAACTTGTCGGTTGAAGGTTTAATTAGAATAGGGTTTTGTTGCCCATATTGTAACAAGGACCCCCCCGTTCAAAAAAAACTAGGTTGTTGTTGTCTATATAGGTACCTATACTTTTTCTTTGGGTGGGGTTCCTCATTCTTAGTATAATGGGCCCCAAAACCCTACTCTAATTGTTAAGGCCCCTATATTAAAGAGCCCTTTCAATCCCTCAACACCGCCTGTGTCAAACCGCACCAAGCGCTACAAAGCTCCGCGATGACTTCTTCGTGGTAGGCACCGTTTCTCGTTTGCTTCCCTTCGTTATATTTATACTTGCTACGGTTGATGATATAAATCCTGCATTACCCATAATAGGGTAAGAAGGAATATGCTATAATTCTCATATATTCCCGATGATGGGGAATGCAGGATTTATATCATCAACCGTAGTGCTTGGGTCCAAGCTTTGAGGTTTGGGGTTTTGATATGTTTCGATTCGCCGTGGAGGCTGGTTGGCAGCCGAGGATCTTGCAGCAGCAACCATGTGCCTTTCTATTTTGGGAGTTTTGGGGAGTTTCCGTTTAGACTGACTGGTGGGAACCTCTGCAGTAAATAGGACAACATACTACCACATCGTATAATACACTAATTAAGTACTTTGTGATACAATATGTTACAGTACTTAATGTAGTATTTAGGACAGACTGGCAGGACAAAGAAAAGCCAAACCCCAAACCAAGCTTTACGGAGCCACAGCTCCGCCGTGGTGCAGGGTTCGTGTTTCCAACTCCAGCCTTCCCGGTTTGTAGTGTAGGCTTCGTGGGTTTGGGGCTCAGACACTCTATGTTCCGCAAGGTTTACAGCATCAGGTTTAGAGTTCGGGAAGCCGTGACCCGAAGCTACAACCACACCTTACACCCCCCGCCCTTTTCGGGGTGTAGGCTTTTAGGGTTTGGGTTTTGTGAGGAGTTTGTGCAGTGCTCGAAGACGTTCCCAGCTCCGCAGCATCGACCGATTCTTCAGCGGCCAGCTGCAATGGAAGTGGGTTTCTAGGTCAGGTCTATCAGTCGATCTGGGTTGATACAGCGGTTATTACAAAAGAAATCTCTAAGAGCCACTGTAAGAGCTACTTGAATGCAGATTCTTGCAGACTTTTGCTTTGGACTTGGGGTGCTTGGAGCCTTAGAGAAAGTGGGACGCGTGGGCAGTCATGCAGATCAGCCTGAACGACGTGCGAAAGATCGAACTCCCAAGACTTTTCTAGAGTGGACAATAAGCCCTCATGGATTCTCGGTTCAGAATGGTTCAACCTGGGAATCTTGAATTCCATGGTGTGTGCAAGTTTACATTCCCTGCGATAGGGGTGTCAACAATTCGTGCTCGTATCTCCTTCCCAGACCCCCGGGAGGATCCATAAAATAGAACCCCTAATCTGGGGCCCTATACTACTAAGGGTACTTTATAGGAACCTTTATTAAGGGATCTACTTTTCGGATCCTCCCAGAATTCTGGTTCACAGAAACCCAAGCAGGGACAGTTGTCCTCACAAGTCTCCTTTGCTGCATCTTCGGCAAAGCTTGGGTCCCCCAAACCCGAAACCCTAAACTCCTGAACGCCAAAACCCCTGAAGTCCTAGCATCTAACCCTTAAACCCCTAAACCCTAAACCTCACATTAACCCCACAACCTACCAAAGCAAGCTCAAGAAGTGCGAAGCCCCAGACCGTAAACCCTAATCCCGAAGTGCTCAGCCCCTAAAGAAAGGTGGACCTTCGACACGCACATGGCGGACAACACGAACCTCGAATTTCGAGCTCAGGCCCGTCCTGAGGGGCATAAGCGGCTGGGAGGGTTCAGGGTTTAGGGTATTGAAGGTTGAGGGTTCAGGGCTTAGGGATTCGGAACTCGGGTTTAGGCTTTAGGTCTTGGCTTGGGGGTTACCCTAAGCCTCTTGCCCTGTACATACCATGAGCTCCGGTGATGCTTTCGGGCGCCCCGGAGCCTTATAGCAGCCCTTCTAGTAACCCCTTGCCTTGTAGTGACTTGCAGTGAACATCTAAACCTTTAGCCTTCCCACCCTAAGTTTAGGGTTTCGAGCTAAACCTTAAAGCTTTACTTTGCCAACTACTCGTCCTCAGGCTTCCTAAATATAGTTATACTATAGTATGCCCCAATACCCTATGCTAGTCATGAAGGCCCTACTAAACATCCAGCCCTTCCTTTCAGAGGTGTCCTTCCTTTTGGACGGCGTTCCCCACCACATCGCCGGTTCTTGGTGCGAGCCTCACGGGTGGTTTGCCGTGTATACAGGGTTCTACAAGGGTTTTGTGGTTTAGGATGTAAGGGTTTCAGGGTTTGGAGGTTGAGGGCCTAGAGCTTTGGGATTTTTGGGGTTTTGGGGCTTGATGGTTTAGGTTTAAGGTTTTTGGGTTCAGGGCTTTAGAGAGAGTGCAGGTGAAGGGAGATTCAGTCTCTGCTGATGAAGACGGGGGTTTATGGGCTGTGTGATGCATCGCAGAGGTGGATGTTAGCTTCGGGTTCGGGAAAGGGTCAGGCAGCACAAAGATTCAAGCGAAAAGCTGGTAATCCAGATGCCTTTGCGGCAGTTGCAAGTTATGGCTCCGTTTAGCGTGGCCATGAGCGACTCGAATCTAGGGAGCGCAAGACTCGCGCAGAGATTGCCTTCCCACCATCTGGTGACAGAGGGTTTTGAGGTTTAGGCGGGCCATGCTGTGATTCGGATTGCTCCTAAGTCTGTATCTCCCAAGTTCGAGGCTCTCGCTCGTCGCTCGAGGGTTCTGTAGGGGCTCTTACAGGATCCCAAATCCGGTAACCCCCTGGGCCCGAAGCCCACACCCGGAAGCCGTGACCCCCAAACCCTAAACCGTGAACCTTAAACTCTTTGCCCTAGACCGCGAAGCCTCAAGTCCAACAACCTGAAGCCCTAAAGCCCCAAAGCCCTAATGCGAAGACATGACGTTTTGTCAGAATGCATTCAGAAACTGATAAGAACCTTACATGATTTCCGTAAGGACTCTGTCACAACCTTGCCCGGCTTCAGTGCCTTCCGAAAAGGCAGCAGTCCAAGAAGCTGGCCCAGCGCGACACGGCCGAGCGCTGCCTAGGCGACCTGGGGATGTCGGGGAGGTTTGGGGCCCAAGAGATCCCAATACCCCTTAACTAAGGAATATACCCTTAAATTACAATAGGATCCCATATGTAATTTAAGGTATATTCCTGAATCAAGGGGTATTGGCATCTCTGGGGTTGCGTATTTTGGATCCGGTTGTTGCGGGATGTACCAGGTGTAGTTGATGTGGTTTACAGGGATGGAGTGGTTTATTTTTCGTGATTTCAATGTCTTTAAAGTGCTTGAACCGGGGTGCACGGGTATATAGGGCTTTACCAAGGCCTATAGAATCCCTTCACTTAGGTTTGTGGTGCTTTCTGCGACTTTTCGTGGGTAGGTGTAGGATGTAGGATTCATAAAGATTGAATGGCAGGAAAGCAGGTTACCCTTGGTTCTTTGGAGGGCTACCGGGGGCTTGGGTCTTAACCACAAGTTTAGGGTGTAGGTTGCAGAGCCCCGATCCCCAAACAAAAACAGCCCTAAACCCTAAGCCCCTACCTTAAACCCCCAAAGCCTCGGTTTTCTGACGTTTGTCTTTGTTCACTGTCACAGTAGTCGGAACTCCGTATACTCGTAGTCTTCGTGGCCGAGAGATACCACGTCTTAGAGCCTAAACCCTGAAACCTAAGGGTGGAGGCTTCAGGGTAATCCGGCAAAGTTGAGGGTGGCGCCAGGGAGTCAACTTTGAATCTCTGCCCCAGCGGGACATTGTCCAACACCAGCCCTAAAACCTAATCACCAAAGTAGGCCCTGTGAGGTCGTTGCTCAGGGGTTTTCCTAATTTTTTAGGGCTCTGAGCTGAACTGAGTAGCCGTGCCATGGGCAAAAGCCCCAGCCCCCCGAAGAACCGGCCACCTGAACCCTAAACCCTACTTGGAGGGTCGGCGGACTTAGTAAGTAGTTATTTTATAGACTCATAAGTATCGTAACCCCAATTAGGATCCCTTTCAGGGTACTTCTAGGTCTACTAAGTCCCCTACCCCCCCCCCCCCCCCCAAAAGTAAATCCTACCGTGCACATCCTGCGCAGAGAGCAGGACTCTTCGTGGGCTGTTGGGGCTCTTACTTGCTCCTGGGTGGCACGAGGTATGGTTGAGGGTTTAGGGTTTGGGGCTCGGGGGCGTCGGGTTGAGGGTCTAGGTTTAGGGATTTGGGGGTGAAAGGTTGAGGGTTGAGGGTTAATATAAGGGTTTAGAACGTGCTTGAGTCACCGCACCGACGGTTAGGCACCCAGCCTTCCCTTTTTGCAGCTGCGACACCAGCCCGGTTAAAGCATTCCGGAGCCCAAACCCAATCAGTACGCATAAATTTGGTCACTTCTACCCCTCAACCCTAAACCCCAAATCCTAAACCTTAAACCGGACAAGGGCCCATAAAAAAAAGAAAACCCAAGCTCCTTTCCAAACGCCGAGGCTCCAGGCCGCAGACCCAGAGGGCCTGGCAAGCGAGTCCCTCGACGACCCGCTCGGTGACCTCGCGAAGCGCCACGGCGAATTAGCACAGGGTTTTGGGGTATTTTCTGGGTAGTGGTCAAAATTATGGCCCCTTCTTGGGTACCCTCAATATTAGGTGCCGTATTATGATAAGGACCCAAAAAGGGACCATCATTTTGACAACATATACGATAACCGATAACCATATTACATAAAATCCAAAATAGTACTGGTGGTGATCTAGGCCCTTATGTTACCACGGCATATAGTACCGAGCAATCATGGTTCATCATGATGATAATGATGAGATCACAGCAATAATGACAGTAATTATTCACGGGTAGGAGTCTTATGCGCATTCTTAAGAATCGGGTCGTTCGCAGCGGTATATGTGGGTTCGTAGAGGGCGGAAGGGCGCTCCTGTTTTCGTCAGACAGCTCCGTAATTAAGCAGCACTTGAAAAATACGACCGGGCAGGTGAACATTTTGAGCGAAACCGTCCGGCATTAGCAGTTTGCATAACTTGCAGAAGTGCCACAAGAAGCGAGCAGGCAAAGTGTGTGCCGCGCATGGGGACTTTAAGTAGTGACAAGACAGCTTGTCACCCCTACTGCTCCAGCACTCCTACGAACGAACACGAATGCAGCTGGGGTCATCGTCAGGTTCTGCACCCAGTTTCGCCCATGCAGCGGCACGGGCCCGACATGGTGCATCGAGGTCGAGGACCGAAGAGCTCGACATAAAGATTCTAGGCCAAGAGGCCCACGGCGTTGCGATATAGACGCATTTAGGGGTAAGGCGGGAAAGCTTTGCTTATCAGACGTATCGATTCTGTTCAAATTGAGTTTCTTAGGTTGTCTGCTGCGAATCGCAAAGCATGCTTAGCTCTAATTTTCCGAAGCCCCAAACCCTCAAAGAACAACCCTAAACCCTAAACTCTCCCTACACCCTGCCAAACCACGAATCAGAGAAAAGCCCGTGGCCAGGAAGGGCAATGCAAAGCAACTGCTGAGCTCACTCTGCTGGGAGTCAGGCGGGCTTGGCTTCGGATTTTGAGTGCTGGAAACCTGAGGCCCTCCCAAACCCAAACCCCAAAGTTCAAAACCCAAAGCCATAAATCCTAAGCGCTAAACACTCTGAACCGAAACTCGGAGGAGCCCTGAATACGGGGCCCGCACCGCCGTAAGCGCATCATGTAATGGACTGTAAGCCTTGAAACCTGACGCTTTCGGGGTTCGGATGAAGTGCCTGGCGACTCGAACGCCAGATGCCGAACGCAGGTCTAACCAGCTCTAGCTGTAGGGGCTCAGAAGGTTTTGCTTGGGTTTTAAGCGGTTTCATGAGGTTTGACAGGCGAAATCAGTGGTGTACGAGGGTCATGGACAGTGTTGTTTAGTACTGTAGGATCTTATGACAGTGTATTCATTATAGGGAGCCTGAGAAATGGGGTTGCGAATTACACAGGCTTTTATATCAGAGACCGGCCAGGCACCGTTTCGCTGGCTCACGTGCCGCTGCGGCTCAGGCGCAGCATGGAGGGCCAGGTTTCAGGCTCACGAAGCTCGCCAACGAATGGCATGCGCTGTGCTTAACACCGGTAGCTTTCAGGATGCCAGGGTCTTCTGAATACGTCGGTCCTGAAGCCTCAGCCGATGGTTACAGAGCTCATTTTCACATTGTCCGTGTCATGCCCGATCAGAGCAGTCGCTAGCCCGGTCGTAATAGTGAGGGTAGTGACCACAAGTAGTCGCAATGGTACACAGAACCCTCAACCCAAAACCTCACAGGCTGTGTAGGCTATTCGGGTTGGGCAGACATAAGCAAGGAGCTCAAGAAAGACCTACACCCCTAAACCCTAAACCCTGAAGCCTAAGCCCTAAACCTTAGACCTCTAATCCCAAAACCCTAAACTCCTAAGCCTTAAACCCTACTCCCAAAACCCTAAACCCTAAACCCTAAACCCTAATCCCAAGACCCTAAACCCGAAACCCTAAACCCTAAACCTTAAACCCTAGACCCATCCGGTCTCGGTGGATGGCAGGCTGCCAAAGAAGATACGGCCCGGCGTCCCCCGGCTTCGGAAGTTTTCGGATCTAGAGTTGAGGGTTTAGGGGAGGTTAGCCCCTAAATCCTACACCGTAAACCCTAAACATGAACTAAAGCTCCAGAGGTGTGGATGTGGAGACTCCAGGGCACTAAACTGCTAGACCCTAGGCCCTTTACGCTAAAGTTTGGGTAAGATTTGCGCTCCGGAAAGCCTAAACCCTAAGCATTTCGCCTTAAAGCCTAAGCCCTAAACCCGAAACCCTAATGACTTCAGTACCTGAAGTCTCGTAATGAAGGTCTTGAGTTTGGGGTTTCGGGTTTAGTTTAGGTGTTTATAAATGCTACGTAAGCTCTGGAGCTCCAGCAGCAAATATCGGATTCTCAAGGAATACCGGAATACCGTGAGTAATTTTTCCGACCTCTGTATAATGTACTACGCTGCGGAAGCCTAGGTTTGCTCAGAAACCTGCATCAACTTCCGTATAAAACGCCCTGTAGCGCGATGTACAATCCCGACTGTATAAACCTTAAGATGAACCTATTTGCCCCACGATAAATGCCAATATGCACTCTGATATAACCCCGAAGCCCACATACTTCGAAACACCCTTTCATCAAGCAGCCGCCTCAACCCTCAGCCATAAACCCCAAACCCCTGACACTGAACTCTACCGCCTGAACCCCAAAGCCTAAAAACACTAAATCCTAAACCCTATTTTCTCAACCCAAGACCCTCCCTTAGACCCTAAATCCCTAAACCCCTAAACCCTAAACCCCTAAACCCCAAGACCCTCCACTTCAGGTGTGCTCTGGTACCTTCAGTGCCCTGGCTATGAAAGCCTCTACGAGCCGGATGCGCAAGGAACCCACGCTGTGGCGAAGGCGGGGGAATCCTTGAAGGGGGTTCTTTTGGGTTTGGGGGTTCAGGGGTTCAGGGTTTAGGGTTTTGGGGTTTAGGGATCCTTGTTGGGTGTTCTACAGGGTTTGGGTTTGAGGGCTGAGGGTTTAGAGCCGAGGGGTTCAGGGTTTGAAGCTTCATTTGTCGGTTTGCAGTCTTGGGCGTTGGGACGATTGGAGTTCAATCAAGGAGTTCGGGGGATCAGGATGAGAGGCGCATCTTTCCTCGCAGAACCTTGGCATTCTGGATGGCGACAATGATAGTCAGGATATACGAATTCCCAACACGCAACTGGTTGAAAACCAACAACAGCGATAATGATGATAATATTGACTGAGTGAAATTAGCAACAGCAACCGTCGTCGTCGTAATAGAGTAGTAGTAGTACTAGTACTAGTACTAGTACTAGTAGTAGTAGTAGTAGTAGTAGTAGTAGTAGTAGTAGTAGTAGTAGTAGTAGTAGTAGTAGTAGTAGTAGTAGTAGTAGTAGTAGTAGTAGTAGTAGTAGTAGTAGTAGTAGTAGCAGGAGAAGAAGCTACTAGTAGTAGTAGTAGTCGTCGTCGTAGTCGTCGTCGTAGTCGTAGTCGTAGTCGTCGTGGTGGTGGTGGTGGTAGTCGCAGGCGTAGTCGCAGTAGTAGCAGTAGTAGCAGTAGTAGCAGTAGTAGCAGTAGTAGTAGTAGTAGTAGTAGTAGTAGTAGTAGTAGTAGTAGTAGTGGTAGTAGTAGTGGTAGTTGTAGTAGTGGTAGTAGTAGTAGTAGTAGTAGTAGTAGTAGTAGTAGTAGTAGTAGTAGTAGTAGTAGTAGTGGTAGTAGTGGTGGTAGTGGTAGTGGTAGTGGTAGTGGTAGTGGTAGTGGTAGTGGTAGTGGTCGTGGTCGTGGTCGTGGTCGTGGTCGTGGTCGTGGTCGTGGTCGTGGTCGTGGTCGTGGTCGTGGTCGTGGTCGTGGTCGTGGTCGTGGTCGTGGTCGTGGTCGTAGTCGTAGTCGTAGTCGTAGTCGTCGTAGTAGTAGTAATAATAATAAGAAATGAATCATCATAATGGTCCTAGTAGTACTTCCCGAAGCGAACAAGTCCTGAACGTTCATTACCTTCGTCTCGGCATCAGACAAACCATGCCAGAGTCGAAGGGACGAACGTAATCGAAATCATATCTACGTAGAATCTCTGTATAGTTCGGTTATACTTCATCGAAGAGCCTTATTCTGACATTTCGCTGCCTTGTTTAGCCGAAGAAGCGAGCCCCCCCCCCCCCCCCCCAGCCGCTGAGATACTGAAAACCCTGAGCTCTCAAGCGATGCCTCGGGGTTTAGACTTTGTTCAGGGTCCTTTACTTGGAGGATCATGGGACTTAGTAAGTAAGGTTATAAGTACCTTAATTGGGGCTATAAGTACCGTTACCCTAATTATAACCCTAGCTACTAAGTCCCAGGATCCTTTAAGTAAGGCTGCTACAAGGGTTTCGATGAGGGTTCGGTTCGGGGGGTTTAGGGGTGTGGGGTTATCGGTCTTCGGAACTTTACGGCGTTAGCGCAAGCCAGGAAGTTCCCAACCCTGAGCCCGATAACCTGACCTTGAAGATCTAATAAGCTCGAAGCTCCAAACCGTAAACCCAAACCTCAACCCTAAACCCTTCACTTAGGGACCCAAAAGGCACATAAGCATAAGCATTTTGTAGGGATATCCCTACCTTATTGGGCTTCAATATACGGGGGTTTTCACCCCAAAATCCTATAGACCCTAACCCCTTCCGCCCTTCTGCCCAGGAAATTCCCACGCCTCCAGCCAACTGGGCCGCCGAAATGCACTTCACCGGGGGAGGGCCAAAGCTTCGGTGGTCCTCGAAACCACGAAACCCTAGACCCCTGAACCCTAAACCCTGTTTTATGAACCCCTTAAATCCATATACCACCCCTGAAAACTGAAACTCCCGAAACGACCGGCTCAAGGCACCTCGCTGTTTAGCATCAAGGGAAACATGATCAGGAACCCTAGAAAATGCAGTAGGAGGAAGCCAAGAGTGGGCCAAAAGCCTGCGCCCTCCCAAACCCTAAACCCTAAACCCTAACCAAGCCAACAAACACGAGAGCCCTCAAATGGAATATTTCCTGAGTCGGGGCATTGGTCTACAGGGCCCAAACGCCGGATTTGAAGCCAACGGCAGGTATCAATTAATGGTCCGGATAGTGGGCATTTATGGTATGTTGGAGGTTAGTTGGGGGTCTAGAATTGATGGGCTGGCAGTTCCGGTTAGGCGGTGCTTTGGCAGCTTGGGCTGTTCCGGAGGCAGCTCTCCAACCGAGCACCGCGGACCCCGAGGGGTTTAGGGTGTACATAGAGAACTAAGTGATCACAGCTTCGAGTTCCTTTTGTAAGTCTACAAAATTCTACCATACGCCCAAGATACAACTGGCGCTGCAGCCGCAAGTTGAAACTCCAGCCTTGCACTCCGAGGTGAATGTGGCCGAGGATGACAAATCGGCGTTGCGCTTGGAATCTAAAAGTTATGGAAAGCGTGCAGCAGGACGAGGGCATAAGTAAGCAGCACAAGTCGGTTCCCATGTTGGGCCATGAGCAGCCCAGGTGCAGGTCAGACGGTTTGTTCTAGCGCAAGGTACGTGCGAGCTTCTGCAGACCCACACGATGTCAGGTTTTCTCCGCACAGTGCCAGTTTTTTTGGGGCCGTTGCTTGCTTTGCACCTACTCAAGGTTTCGCTTCAAAGCATGGGCAAGAAAACGGACTGCATAAACCCTGAACCTAAACCTTAAACCACTCAAGGCAAAGGCCGCCCACCTACCGACAGACAGGCCTTCGCAGCTCATCGCCATAGTGCACGAACTCCACACAGCCTTGTCGGCAAGATACCGTCGCCTACGCGCTATTCCACAGCAAACTCTAAATGGGTGGTTGTCAAAATTTTGGTCCCTTTTTGGGGTACCCTAAATATTAGGTGCTGTGCCATAGTAAGGACCCAAAAAGAGACCCTAATTTTGACAACCACCCAGATCCTGAACCTGCCTCATCAACACCAGGTCCTGGCGGCCGAGCGGAAAACCACCGTGATGCGAGTGCCCTTGGCATGTTCTCTTTGTTTGGGCAGTTGCGGTTTAGTGTTTAGGGTTTGGGGCGTTTGGGGCTATAAGAATCTAAGAACGAATCTCGTTCAACCAAGCAAAGGAACTAGGCTGTTTATGCAATAGCAGCTTCTGGTCGTGCGTCGCGGCGGTCCTTCTCGCAATTCTCTTGTTCGTTACTTTCCGCCACACATTGCTTGAACGTCGAGAGTTTGGCTTTCACTTTGTGGAAACCCTAAACCCTAAACCTAAACCCTAAACCCTAAACCCCATGAGGTTTTGGTCCTTTGGAATTCGGCAATTCGGGGACATCAAGGTTTCGGCACATCCCTCGAACGTGTACTTCGTGACAGGCGGAACAAAGCCTTGTGCCTGAAGCCCAGGGAGCCTGGAACCCCAAACTTTCTTTGGGGCTCATTGTTTTTAGGGTTTAGGGTTTAGGGTATAGGAAGTAGGGTTTAGGGTTTCATCTAAACCAATCAATCACTTGCCTTCCGTGCCACAGGTGCAGAATCGGCTGCAGCAGAGCTTTGCCAAGCGTTTGAAGCCTGGCCAAGGCTGCTGAGCTGCAAAAAAGGCACACGAAACCCGAAACCCGGAACCACCCCGAACCCTTGTTTAATCCCCTAAGTCTAAACCAAAAATCGGCCAGAAGCCCTCAACCCCAAAAGCTCAGAAAGGCCTTAACCCCTGCTTTGGGATACCGGGATACCCTTATAAACCCTAAACCCTGAACAGTTTCCTTCCTTCGATGCACAGGGTCTGGAGCAGGAACTGGGATTCCTGCGTAGGGTGTAGGATTCTGGTTTAGGGATTAGGGTGCAGGGTTTAGGGTGTAGGCTTGAGGCTTCCGTATCCCTAGCAAGAGTACCAGTTCGCCGGCGATGATGACAGGGGCATGCATGACGAGAGCGATTTCTGCGTTTCTTCTGAGCTTATGATAAGACTGAGGGATGGTGGGGATGAGAGTCATGATGGGGGTGACGATTATGATGCTGACGATGAAGATGATTGCAATGATTCCGGTGATGATGCTGATGCTGATGGTGGTGGCGGCGGCGGTTGGGGTGGCGATGATGATCGGTAGTATCCTTGTCTTGTGATACCCATGTATGGCTTTACAGGTTTTCCAGAGCCTAACAGGACGCGAAACCGCCAACTTTCTTTTGAGCCCCCGAGACCGTCTGTATCGGCCCTAGGTTCCGGGCGTTCAGGGTTCAGCGATCTGTGAGTTGTGAAGTTCGGGTCTTTGGCTTGCTTTTGCCTTGCAAGATACTTGTAGGGGTCGGAAAGTAGTAGTCGTGTCCTCTTGTAGTCCTTCATTTCCTTACATCATAACCTCGAAAGCCCAAGTCGACTTGCTAAGGCAAGCTCTATTTCTCTGACAGCAGTGACGTTTACTCTTAAGAGCCCTGAGACCAACATCCTCCGTCCTCATGCCGTCATTCAGCGCCCCAGACCCTACTTAGAGGATCATGGGACTTAGTAAGTAGGTTATAATTGGGGTTATAAGTCCCCTAGGTGGGTTATCCTAATTATATCCTACTTATAACTTTACTTACTAAGTCCCATGAGCCTTTAAGTAACCCTAGACAGAGGCGTCTGGGAATGGTCCTTTGAGTCCGACACTGCGGAGAGACAGGGCCTTCTTGGGTGTCTAATATAGAGGTTGGAAGAATGTCTAATGACCCCCCCTTCCTGTCTCTGATGTAACATACTATGGTATGCACCAAGGCCCTATTCTAATCATTAGCGCCCCGATATTTTGTTTGTTGAGATTCCTGGAGGGTTTATGGGATTCGTCTCAGGAACTCTATGCTGCTTTCTGCCGGTTTAGGGTTTGGTCGGGGGCAAGTAGTCAGAGCATTCCAGAGTCGTGGGGAAGATGGGGTTCCCCGGCTAAAGAGATGATTGTTACCCAGACCCCCGGGAGGATCTAAAAAGTAGGTCCCCTAGTTTGGGACCCTATACTACTAAAGGGTCTTTATAGGAACCCCCATTAAGGGGTCTACTTTCTAGATCCTTTCGGGGGTCTGGGTATCGGGGCCTTAAAAATTAGAATAAGGTTTGGGAGTATATTATGATATGTAGGATCATAATAAGGAACGTCATAGGGGATTCATTTAGGGCCCAAATAATGGCAAACACGATGCTACTTTTCGGGTTTCCTTATGATAATGAGAGCATAATGTGCCACCCCCCCATACCCTGTTAGGCCCCTCTAGTACGTCGCCAGGATGCTTTCGGAGATATGGGAAGCCTTTGAGTAGGGACTGGGCTTTCGCAAATTCGGACTCAACCGCCCCAAACTCGAAACCCCCAAAAGCCCGAGCCGGGCGCCCAGAGTCCGTGGACCTCTGAAGTCCTCAGCCCAAGATCTCCCCAAGACATGGGTAGTTGTCAAAATTAGGGTTCCTTTTTGGGTCCCTTAAATAGTAAGTGCCGTATTATACTAAGGACCCAAAAAGGGACCCTAATATTGACAACCACCCACATGAAAGAATAGGTCACTGAATTGACGCCCCAGAGAGAACGGCAAAGAGCAGAACAACCAACGCCGTCACTCCCAAATCCTAAACCCCAAGGAACACCAAATCCTGAATCCCAAATCCTACACACCCAAGGAGCCATATTATCTTATACTACATTATACTAGACTATATTCTATTCTACGGCATACACAGAACTATATTTTCTTTTCTCGTACCCCCCCCGGGGGCCAACGCCGCGATCACGAGGAGTCCGCCTGGCCGCCGATGCAGCGAGCCACAGTGACGATTGCAGTGGTGCTTGGCCCAGCATGGGAGTTTCCGAAACTAGGGGTTGCCTTTTTTTGGGTCCTTATAAACAGGATCCGACTATTTAGGGTACTATATTTGGGTCGCCTATTTTCGGAATCGGAGACCCATACAGACAGCCAAGAACCTTAAACCCTAAACCCCAAACCCTTAGGTCATGCATCTTCGGAATTTATGCGTGCGTCCTCGTACCCTGACATCACCGGAAAAAGCCGTAAACCCTGAACCCCTAAACTTGGCCATATATAAATCTTTCAACCCTAAACCCTGTACCCTCAAAACTCCTAAACCCCTAAACCTCTAAACCATAAGCCCTAAACCCTAAACCAACAGGGATCTTCCGGGGGATTGCCCTGTGATTACCGACATAACTACTTGAGCTTACCCGAAAAACCAAAGCCCCAGGCTATTTGTTCAGGCCTCAAATCCTAAAGCCTAAGCCCTGTACAATCCTGAACCATAAACCACGCATTCTTGGAAACTGAAGCTCTAGGGATAGCGATGCAGCTCTACAGCTTAAGGTCCCAACAGCAACAGCGGTAAAAACGATCCCAACCCTGAACCCCAAACCTTAAACCCAAAGCCCTAAACCATTAAACCCTCACCAAACAGTAGTCCCATTAACAGGAACCCCTAGACGCCACAAGGAACCCCTGTAGATCTTGAAGCCCTGAGCCTTAAACCCTGCACCCGAGGCGCTCAACCCTGAGAAAAAGCAACAAAAACCCCAAAGCCCTAGACCCTGAACCCTAAAGACCATGACTCTAAACCCTAAACCCCTAACACCCTGAAATCACTAAACTCTAAACCTAAACTCTGAACCCTAAACCTTAAAAAAAGCCCTAGAGCCCGATATATCCCTTCAACGGAACCCTTCTAGATCCCCAAAAAGGAACCTTTGTAGATCCCTCTAAAGGAACCCTTGAAGATCCCTTGAGGGTTTAGGGTTTAGGGTTTAGGGTTTAGGGTTTAGGAGCCCGAAAGGCCCCGAAGATCCACCCGACAGGTGCAGCGCAGCTTCACGGGGAGCCTCGTCTTCCGGAGAGCTCTTAAGGGCACTTCGGGGGGTTCTGTAGTAGGGTCCCCTTTAAAGGGTACTTCGGGGTTCTATAACAAGGAACTTCAGGGCACTTCGGGGTTCTGTAGTAGGGTCCCCTTTAAAGGGTACTTCGGGGTTCTATAACAAGGAACTTCAGGGCACTTCGGGGTTCTGTAGTAGGGTCCCCTTCAAAGGGTACTTCGGGGTTCTATAACAAGGAACTTCAGGGCACTTCGGGGTTCTGTAGTAGGGTCCCCTTCAAAGGGTACTTCGGGGTTCTATAACAAGGAACTTCAGGGCACTTCGGGGTTCTGTAGTAGGGTCCCCTTCAAAGGGTACTTCGGGGTTCTATAACAAGGAACTTCAGGGCACTTCGGGGTTCTGTAGTAGGGTCCCCTTCAAAGGGTACTTCGGGGTTCTATAACAAGGAACTTCAGGGCACTTCGGGGTTCTGTAGTAGGGTCCCCTTCAAAGGGTACTTCGGGGTTCTATAACAAGAAACTTCAGGGCACTTCGGGGTTCTGTAGTAGGGTCCCCTTCAAAGGGTACTTCGGGGTTCTATAACAAGGAACTTCAGGGCACTTCGGGGTTCTGTAGTAGGGTCCCCTTTAAAGGGTACTTCGGGGTTCTATAACAAGGAGCTTCAGGGCACTTCGGGGTTCTGTAGTAGGGTCCCCTTCAAAGGGTACTTCGGGGTTCTATAACAAGGAACTTCAGGGCACTTCGGGGTTCTGTAGTAGGGTCCCCTTTAACGGGTACTTCGGGGTTCTATAACAGGGTACTTCAGGGTGCTCTTTAATGGGGTACCTCTGTGCAAGATCTGGTTTGGTGGGATCTAGGGTTTCGGTTTTAGAGGGTTTGGGTTTGGGGTTTAGGGTTTAGGGGTGTAGGGGTTTAGGCTTTTGGGTTTAGGGGTTTAGGGACCCTCAGCTTGGAGCTTCGGGTGAGGGGGACCTGGAGTTTTGCGCTAGGTTTTTGGATCTCCTCCAGGATTGATGTGGGTAGTTGTCAAAATTATGTATGATTTGAGATTCTGGCTGTCGGTTTTCTCGGGCTGTTGTGGGTTTTAGGAGATCCGGCTGTGAGGCCCTGTAAAGGGATCTGAATAACTGCTAACTCGGAATGGTATGCGCTTATAGTGCCTTCATAAGTATAGTATAACATGCCCGCAGAACCCCATTCTGATTGTTAAGGCAGGTGTCTATAGAACCCTTACAGATCCCTTATACATCCCTTCAAGAACCCGATTCTAGTCGTCTGGCACATTCCGAGAGCATCAAACATCTCTTTCGGGGGCAGAAGGACTCGGGTTCCTTATTATGGCAAAACGATAATAGTACTAAGGCCCTCACATTACCTGGGACCCGAAAACGCTCAAGTTCTAAACCCCAAGCCCTTAGCCCTTGAAACCCAAGCCTTATACCCTGAACCGAACCCCCAAAGCCCAAAGCCCTAAACCCTGAACCCTCAACCCCGAAACCCTGCTGGCCCAAAGCCCGAAGCGCTGACCGACCCAAGGCCGTGGGTGCGTGGGCAGCGTGAGTCGCAGCTTGAAGTTTCCCGGCAAGGAATGGGGAATTCGGATTCGACCCCACGGACATCCCCCTAAACTCCACTCCACTTTCCATGCCCTAAACCCCCTAAACCCTGAACAATTCGTCCAGCAACGGATAAATGGAAGTTTACTATAAATCACTATTACGGTAACTTAAACCCTATATCCTTGAAGGAACCCTTATAGATCCCTAAAAGGAACCCGTACATATCCCCATTATGGTCACTTAAATTCAGTTCCTCAAAACAAGAACCCGCCAGCCGACCTGAGGCTTGCAAGATGGTGGAAGAATACCTTGATTCCCTGGCGGAGGCCTGGGGGTTCGGGGGTTTGGGGGTTTGGGGTTAAGGATTTAAGGGTTTCCGAAAATAGGGCTTAGGGTTTAGGGTTGAGGAGTTTGGGGGTTTGGGGGTTTGGGGTTTAGGGTTGAAGGGTTTAGGGGTTCAGGTGCTTTGGGCTCTGGGGGTTTGGGCGTTCAGAACGGATGATTAAGACAAATAGGATTCCCCATAGCAGATATAATGCAATATACCCCTAATTCTTGAGGCTAGATCGTTTGGGCAGCCACATGGTCGTGTTGTGAGATTGTTGGAGGGTTGTTCCGAGCTTCTTTTCGGCTTGGCTTCTGTGCAGGATGGCGAACCCAAGCACAAAACCCTGACAGGGCTTGGCGATCAAGTTAACTATACTTGTCAGGCACTAGAAGGGATTACTACAACGAATTATGCAGACCCCCACGATTACACTCAAATGATGAGCCTCCTGAACAGGACTTGCCCGCTGATGCCTAGAGACACCCGGCCGAAAGTGTGCGGGTGCCTGAGGGCTCGGCTGGCTTAGATCCTCGTTTTACAGCTTTGGCACGGGCTGTTGTACATGGGCTCAGCTCTGATTCTTGGAGAAGCCTATCAAGATGGGAGTTTCCGAAAATTAGGGGTATCTTATTTGGGGTCCTTAGAATAAGGATCCTAGTATGTCGGGTACCATATTAGGGTCCCTTATTTTCGGAAACCCCCAGATGATTCGTGCTTCTGGTGCCAGAGGTCTTGGCAGCCTTGGCACCTTGGTAAACTCTGTCGGCCCTTTCATCGCAGCCTGGTGCTTTTCCGGGCGGGGGTGGCAGGGACCTGAAGACTTTGAGGGTTCCTAAATACATTGAAAGTCCAATTTATAGCACACCCCAAAGCCACTATACTACGTGTAAGAGCCCTATATCTTAGGGCAAAGCACGATGTTAAGAAATGGATGAGTTGACCTATGGAAAAAGCGCTTGCATGCACAGACAAAATAAATATTGGCATGTTTAGACAGAAGCATCGGAAACTCATGAGCAGCGTGCACGACAGCCGGGGTTTACTGCAGGGTTTGGGGATTCCACGGTCGTACCCGTGGCAGCATTCGAGAAGGTATGGCTCCGAAGACATCAGAACACACACACAAGCTTGCTCAAAGCTGCAAGACACCTTACGGGCCCTACACCCATCCCTTCGAATTCTCACAGGATCATCCCTTCTCTTGCCTTTGAGGCCCTGTTGCTGGCACTCAGGGCTTAATGGGTCCCTCGCACGTTGCTGAGGCGGGAGAGGCAGTTGAACTGCCATTTGCGGTATTTGTGCGCCCGTCGGGCCCTCAGTTGGCAAGCACCAACCCGAAAGCTCAATCCGAACTCGAAACCTCGCTGCTTTTGGTGTAGCCGATGCCCCGACAGCCCAGGAACTCTAAGGAACTGCGATTCGTGTTCGGCTTGGTTTCGGGACTGGTGATGTTTTCTCAGCCAGCCTTCTAGGTGCCAGAAATTGACAGAAGCTCTGGGGGAGCCCCATCCGTGCATGTGTGGGCGTCGAGGTGCTGCGAACAGAGTTGGGAAGAGTCTTACAGATCACACAGTCCAACGTTTGGGTCTCCCGAGTTTCAACAATCAGCCCACCCAAGCCAGAACCTGCACATAGAAGCCCTAATGTACTAGAATTCCGTAGGGTTCCCTTACTAACTTACTACAAGCACAGCGTAACAACCTGGACTCTATTCTACTATAAACGAGCCCAAAACCCTATTCTAGTCAGAAAGGCCCCGACAGTACGCCCCCTCCCCCCCAAAAAAAAAGAAACCTGTTCGAATACTCGAGGCCCCATGTTGCACATCTCTCAGCCTCTTAAGGAACCCTAAACCCTAAACCCCTAAAGCCTTAAAAGCGGTTTAGGGCTTAACCGGGCAGGATAGAGGGTTTGCAGCTTAGGGTTCAGTTTCTAGGGTTTGGGGCCTAGGAGTTTGGGGTGGGTTTAGGCTTCTTTCTCTTAACTACGCCGCCCCCATGTTGCTGTGAGGTCGTACAGACTTGCCTCTTTTCCCCCTTTGGGAGAAGCTTGGCTACGAGAAGCATTTAGGCTTCAGGGCTTAAGGCGTAGGGTTTCATGTACAGGGTTTGGATCTATGGCGGAGGCATAGACATGCTTTGCAGAATTTGGTGTGCTCGGTGGGCTGGTGGCAAGAGTTTCATGAGTTTCAGGTTTCAGAAGCCTTGAGCCTAATCCTCACGATCTCTGAAGCCCAGCCGGGTTTAGAAACGGAAGCAGGAGTCAAAGGAGGTCAACGTTAGGCCCCAATGCCAGAAGTGTTCGCGTCCAGTTCGCAGTCTAGTTCTCGCCGCTGTCCCACTCCACACTTCTTACGTAATCAGTCCTCCAAACGTGAAGGCAGGGGGTGCTAACTAAAGACATCGCACAGGCAGTCGCATTGGTGCGACGTAGGAAAGGTCCTGCTACAGCTTCCCCCCGCACACACGGTGCAAGCAACCCCATTGAGGGATAGGTTTACCGCTTGCTCTGGGATTCAGACCTTCAGCTACGATGATCCGAAGCTGGAGCCCTAAACCCTAAACCCTCTGCTCGCTCGACAGGAGCTGTTCTGCGGTAACGAAAAGGAACTTTCAAAAAAGAAACCCTGAGGCTTGAGTAAGAGCGTCTTATTGTCACAAAACTTACCTTCGGTTAGTAGGGAATGGAAGAATGGTAGTAATAGTAGTTATAATTGTACCCCCTTTCTCCATTCCCTACTAACCAAAGGAAAGAAAAAAAGGACTTGAGAAGCTTCGGTACATGTGTCCTCGGGCCCTGCGAAGAATCAGCTTCCCGTGGCTGGATGCTACTTAAAGGCTCATGGGACGTAGTAAGTAAGGTTATAAGTAGGATATAAGCAGGATAACCCCACTTAGGGGACTTATAGCCCCAATTATAACCTACTTACTATGTCCCCTGATCCTCTATGTAGGCAGCAGAGTACAGTCGAAGAGCAGCCGCCTAAGCCGGATTGCAAGTCCTAAAGGTAAACCAGGAAGGCATTTGTCCTTGAGCAAAGGATTCCGGGCGCGTGATTTCGGATGGAGGATACGAGGAAGGCTCTGAAGGTCTTCAGAGTTTCTCTCCCATTCATGCTTTCTCAGCCCAAAACCCATCCGAAACTCTATCTGAACCCTGCTCTCCAAACCTAATCCCAAAGAATTGTTTCCTGCATGCCTAACCGGAAACCTTCAACTGGGCACTGAGGATTGGCCGAGGGTCATCTGCATGGTTCGAAATTGAAGACTTGATACAGGACTAGGGTTTTAAGGGGTCCCAGTTCCAAGGAGAAGATTGATAGATAGATTATGTTATCAATAGGAGAGCTGTTGCAGCTGCTACGGTTCGTTTTGCCCTGAAACCTATAAGTAGTCAGCCTCGCCTAGCATGGTTTAGGGTTGAGGATTTAGGGTTTAGGGTTCTGTGCTCTGCATAATCGTACGGCATGCTGATGATATATGTGTCGATCTTCCGTGGTTGCCGTTTGTTTGGTGCATTCCGAGGAACCGAACCGAAGTTTTGGCATTCACGGTACCTGTCCCGGTTGGAGCCTGCCATAGTAAGGAAGATCCCTCAAGTGGACCTGATATAGCCTAGAGCATTCTTCGAATCTTATGCCAGGCTGCGTCGGGTAATCGTCTCTTTACAGGTTCAGGGATGGGAATGCGGAATCAGAGATGGGGATGTTATTAAGCCCGGCGGTTCCCCGGTTGAATTTCAAAACCCGTAAGTCTTTCAATGGCAGGGGCAGCACAATCAACTCCCGTTCTAAGGCCTTTGTGTGGTGTTTTGCGTGCGATGCCGTGAGTCTTTTTTCTTAAGCTATTGTGAGTGTTCCGAGTTTGCCGATCCTCGAAACCACAGTCAGCCATTCCTTCGTTTCGCGCGATGTTCTCGGTTTGCCTGCTCCCTTGTCCGAAGTTGCTGCCTAAACCCGAAACCCGAAAGCCCCTAAACCACCCCCAAGCCTAAGCCTAAATTTGTAGTATCCTTAAGGGAGGGGGGTCCAAGGGGGGTATATAGCCTAGTGATCCCTAATTCTCCCTAGTACTCCCTAAGGTTCCCTTACAGTCCCCTAAGGATTCTTTATACCCTCCCCCCTTGAACCACCCTCCCTTAAGGATCCTAAAATAAATCTGGGCAGGAGGATATGAAGTTCTCCACGGACAAAGTTTTGAGTCCATTTTGAGTCCACGTGGGCCGTGGTCTCAGACTTGGCTTCACTTTAGGTGCTTCGTCTGGTTGAACCCTAAACCCTAAACCCCAAACTCCGAAACCCTAAACCCTAAGCCCTTAACCCAAAGGTGTATTACACTTTAAAGGAACCCTTAACCTTAACCCTTACACCTACCCCCTTAAAGCCCAAGCCAAACCCTAAACCCTAAACCTTGAAGCCGACGCCAGATCCGAAGACCCTCGTTGTACATGGGTGGTTGTCAAAATTAGGGCCCCTTTTTGGGTCCTTATTCTAATGCGGCACCTAAAATTTAGGGTACCCAAGAAGAGACCATAATTTTGACAACCATTCACGTGGTGTTTTGGGGTTTCGTGTTAACTTACCCCCCCGAAATAGGCAACATACCTGAAGTCGTATGAAGGGACTCGGAAGCATGGGATACCCGGTCGAGTTCCACATAGGGTTCTCGAATATCACTAGACGAGATTCTGCCACCAAACCCAATTCCAGTTTTGACGGCCCCTACCCTAAACCCTAAAACCCTAAACCCTAAACCCTAAACCCTAAACCCTAAACCCTAAACCCTAAACCCTAAACCCTAAACCCTAAACCCTAAACCGTGATACCACACTGAGGTCGGGAGGACCGAGACTATCGTGAAAGGCCCGAAGCTTCGTGGAGAACGTAGCCGCAGCCCGCCACAGATTTTCCCCCTCATACGTTGAAGTCTGCTATGGGGGTCGGAATAATTGCTAGCAGTACCCCCTCAAAGTAGTGTCATATATATGTTCTGAGGATGAGGGCCCCCACATTGCACTGAGTCTGAGGAAGCTGAAGGTAGACTCTGTGAAAGCGAAAAAACCCGAAGGAATAGCACCATTTCCTTGCGAGGGCATCTGGAACCCCAAACCCTAAACCCTAGAAGGTAGCCTCTTCGGACCTTAGGGCTTGGAGACAGGGAGCTCAAAAAAAAGTAAAACCTAAAAGGTTCAGGGTGTGAGGCTTCGGGTCGAAGCATTCCATCATCGAGTCCTAAAGCTGATGGAGGGTTTAGGGAGGGCTTAGGGTTTAGATGACGCAGAAGCCTACAGGGTTACGAACACAATTCCTTAGGGTTGCTACGGTTGGTGATATAAATCCTGCATTACCTTAAGGACCCCAAACTATGGGAATTATGGTATATTCCTTATTATGGGTAGTTCAGGATTTACATCATCAACCGTAGTAGCTCTCTACTGCAATGCACCCCCCCCCCAGCCCTCTTCTTGCTACGGCCCCG